GCTATAACTGCATAAAATCTTGGTGTTTTGAATGTTGGTGTAATCAGTGATATTTTCGCTGTCAGGTGAGACTATATTAAGCTATATTTCGTTTTTCTGAGCAAAATTCTCGCAATACACGCTTTAAAAAGTGTAGTGATCAGTTCATTGTGGTTGATCAGAAATATCAGTTGATAATAGAAGTGTGTAGGTCACTGTATGTTTATATAAAAACATGTTAAATAGATAAGTATATGTATATAATATATACAAGTTTCTATAATTCTTAATATTGATTAAATACTAGGAATTTGTCAGTTTTGTCACGAGTATATCACATTAATTGCTTAGTGCAGAGTCATAAGCTTTCTTTCCTCATCAAGTAAAATAACCTAATGCTTTTCAAACATCACACTGTTGCCAAAGTGGGTCCTTATAGAGTTAGACTTTTTACTTATGCAATTTCGATCGCTTGAGGCGGGACTGAGTGAGTGTTATTTGTTTTGTAGAATTTTGAAGCAGTGGTGGACAACGTGGGATTTACTCGGCAGACGTCTGTGTGTCAACCAGTGCAGTCTCTGTTTGATCATAGTCTCCAGTTCGTGGCAGCTGATGATATTCAGCCTCACTCTGTAAGTACTGTGCTTGGCTTGTTATAGTCAGATGAACGGTGTATCATTCAGTTACCCGTATCTCTACGTCGTGTAATTCTCTCTCGCTCTATGTTTCTCTCTCCCCCTCTCTCTGTCTATCTCTCGTTCTCCTTTCTCTTGGGTCCTTCTCACCATTCAGGTGCTCAATCTCTATTCCTCCTCTCTTCCCCCTCTCGTCTTCTCTCTCCTTCCATCTAATCTGTTTTTACCTTTTTAAGCTGGTCTCTTTGTGTGATGGTTCCTTGCACTTTGCCATTTGAATCAACTACTTCTCTATGTTCATTAAATGCACTTCCCGCTGTATAGAAAACTATAGAAAACTCGGATATTATGTAATCATTTTGTAAATGTTTTTTGTATTACGTGAACATCATCATTATAAGAAAAACTCATTACGTTTCCACCATTTCTTATCATTGTTTACAATAGAAAGTATTCTAAAATGTTTTTTTCACTGCTTCACCATGCCCCCCTCAACCGCTTGCTGTAATATTTGCTATCAGGAGCAGCTGAGTGCACAGTGCGATTGTAAGGCAGAACTCGCGTGCTGGTTTGAGTACCAGGACGGACAGCGCCTCTTGGTGGAGAGTCCGGAGAAGGTAGTTGGACACCGTGTGCGCGTTTACCGGCCGGATGGACAAACGCAGTGGTGGTACACAGCCGTCGTAGAGAAGTGTGATCAAAACACAGGGGTATGTCAGTGTGAAATATGTATATATATCAAGAGCTCATAATAGAGAAGAGTATGACACCGTTTTAACAGCGTTTTGCATAGTTTTCAGCTTGTAAATATTCTATCAATATGTGAATAAATATATTCAAACTTTACCTTGTTTTCGTCTATGATTCTCCCTTAATCATATATGACACCACCAATTTACCTGAAAATCGTATGTGTTCTTCAAAAAAGTTCTTTGAATACGACACGGTTTCACACAGTTTTTCCAAATGTTCGCATGTATTCGGCGCAAGTTTATTATCGAATTAGTGTACTATTGTCTATGACGGAAGCTGGGGGCTGATGGGGATATTAGGCACCGAATTGTATTCAGCGTGTAGCGTTTTCAGCATGCTAGAAATAAATGTGTGCTCACGGCGAGCTAGCAGCTGATTTTAGCTGTGTTGCCATCGTGATCCTGATGATAAGGAAGCGAAAGAAGTGCTGTTACTGTGCTTACCTAATATCCCCAACAGCCCCCAGCGTCCCGTAGTTACAACCTGGTGCTGCCACCGCATATAAACATGGGCCGAATACATGCAAACATTTGGGAAAACTGTGTGAAACCGTGTCGTATTCAAAGAACTTTTTACAATTTTCAGGTAAATTGGTGGTGTCATAATGATTAGAGAGAATCATAGACGAAAACAAGGTAAAGTTTGAATATATTTATTCACATATCAATTGATAACTATGCAAAACGCTGTTAAAATGGTGTCATACTCTTCTCTATTATGAGCTCTTGGTATATATGCATGCGTCTCTATATCAATCAATCAATCGACTTGCGGCATTGGCCGAGAGTCCCCGTACAACAGTCCTCCAGCACTCGTGGTCATTCGTAGCATTGCCCAGGTCCTGGAGATGGATACCAGTGTCCCTGGCCGTCAGGGTACGTGAATCTGCGTGATTGCCAGGGACACTGGTATATATATATATTAGTATATATATATATATATATATAATAGTATATATATATACTACCGGATGTTGGATGTCCAAGTCGTTTCAATATTTCGTTCAAAGGTGGGGTACCATACCAAGGCAACACACCTTTTAGCCACACCATTTATATGGTGCAGTGAGGGATCATGGATGCGCACGCTACACACTCGTCATCAAAACAGACATTCACAAAAGTGATGATCTTTTTGTCTTTGTTTGTTTTACAGAACTTTATTTCAGCTTTTAAACTCATCTGTGATTTTACACAGCACTCCACTAAGAGATAGCAGTGCTAGTGCTAGTGCTAGTGATAGAATACTAGTGGTCACAACTATTTTAAGGTAGTGCATGTTTGTTTTACTCATGTTATTTGACTAGCAAAACGTTGATGATAATGTGTGTGTGTGTGTGCTGCACAGTTGCACTTATGTTTGTTGACTAGTAAAATGTTGGTATAATATAGTGTGTGTGTGCGTGCGTGCGTGCGTGCGTGCGTGCGTGCGTTGCACTTGTGCTCGTTGATGGTGTATGCATGGTAGAACTAAAGCACTGTGTTTGTTGTGGATACAGGAGTTATTTCTCACTGACGATACAGTGTTAGAGGAGCATTGTGAAGATCCATCCCTCCTGGAGACGATCATACTCGGTGACAAAGGTAGAAGTCTCTCTATCTCTGTCTTTCCCATTTCCTCTGTGATTCACGCTATTCGTCCGGTGCTTCCACACATCGTTGCCCTACTTGGTTAGATAGGGGAATGTAGTTCGTTGTAGTCCACGGACGCTCAGATCTCTAACAAGCTCGTGCACATTGTTTGCGGCGTGTGGAACTACATGAAACCACGACAATCAATTTTTTTTCACTGCTGCGGCACTGACAGTGACAGCAGAAGAACGTGGTGTTGTAATATTAGACACGGAGCAGCAATCACCGTTACATAAGTGGAATTGTTCTGCGGGAATTTGTTTTTTGTTGGTGTCAAAAGTTCGTAAACATCGAATGCGAAAGTAATTTTGCACGCGTTGAATCACCTCCTACATCTGACGTCACTCAGCGCTGCAACACTAGTTATGCTGAATCGTCATTGTTGCTGTAGATCGCCACTGCTGTTGTGATATGACGTGTATGAGAGCAGGCTCTGGGGGCATATCCGAGACTTCATTCAGCAGTAAATAGATGAAAGTTCATGTAGAAATCATCTCAGAGTCTAGAAAGATTTGGTTTGTTTACTTTGTCGTCACACAGATGTTATTGTTTTTGATTCGTATTTAGTGACTATAGTAGAACCAAACCCGTGAATGCAATCGTTATATGAGTGAGTCATTGTATCCACCTAGCAGCTGTATCAGTAGATCATGATAGTGGTAATTGGATAATCTGTCTTTTATGATTGCATCACTCGTTTTTTTTCAGTGGTGGAAGCTATCTTGAAGGGCAAACCTGTTGGCCCCAGTCGACGAAACAAGGCTCGCCGATTTGACAAAGACGTGAGTTTGTTTTTCTTCGGCTTTGCATCTTGCTGAAAGTTTTTATTCACCAGCTACAGTTGCTGTAGATGGTAGCATTTTACATGCTAATTTGATTACATCCGAATTAATCTGCTAATGTTAAATGTATTTCAATACTACTAAGTAAATGATTTAGTATATATCAAGTAGAAGTGGTGAAAGGGGTAGAATTCTAAATGGTAATTGTATGAGAAACCTTTGTATATTGTGGATGTAGCATTTCTTAAATATTTACTATGATAGCTTACTTTGCCTTCTTTCTATTGTCTAGTTTTTTTACGATACTGTGAGGCCATTACCAAGGATACAGCAAGTAAACTCACAAAAGGGTAATCTTTTTTAAATTGCTAATAATTTGATAATCGGATGGACAGTTGCAAAGGAAATACCGAGGTAGATTCTGTATCGCCACCGTGTAAACAAATTGAGACCTTCAGTGCTTTCAGTAGCATTGAATCTCTTAACGCCTTTAGAATCGGAAGCTGTGGAGAAGGTCATGGTAAAAGATGGAGTTCTAAACAGTCGTCGTATCCGGAATATGTGTACAGCACGCTTGCAATGTTTAACAAATCTTTCTTTTCACGTAGCTGACCTCCGCTGCCATTTGCTGTCAGCTAAGCGACTCACGTTTTTTATATGTCCAGCACGTTCCACTGCGGCAGAAAAGCCAAAGGCGGTCGAGAAGCGTGAGAGCGGGGGACAGTCTAACTCGCGTCGCACCCGCTCGGCTACGCTGAGCGGTGAGCCCGACAGCGCTCACACCGACGCCCCCACCGTCCTTCCGGGGGCCGCGCGTCGAGGCAGGCCCGCGAAGAGGAGGAGGAGTACTTCGGCGATCGCGGATTCGAACGCGGCATCGTCTCGCGGCGACCGGCCGGCGACGCGTCCCTCACGCGCTCCCGGGTCAGCGGCGAAGCGAGGAGCGGACGCGCGTGGCTCGCAGACGAGACGGAGCGTCGACGGAGCGGCTTCCCCGGCGAAACAGAAACCCGGCGGTGACAGCGACTCGTCCGTGCGGAAGACATCGGACAGGAGTGGTTCACCGGCGAAGAAGGCCTCCAACCGTGGCGTTTTCCCAGTGAAGAAGAACTCGGATAGGAGCAGTTCGCCAGTAAAGGGAAGCTTGAACCCTGGCAGTGCACCAGTGAAGAAGAACTTGGAGAGGGACATATTGCCAGTAAACAGAGACTCTAACCCTGGCAGTTTACCAGTGAAGAAGAATTCAGGTAGAGGCAGTTCACCAGAAAAGAGGGGCTCAAATCCTAACAGTTTGCCAGTGAAGAAGAGGTCTGACAGGGGTGGTTCACCAGTTAAGAGGGGCTCTAACCCTATCAGTTTACCAGTAAAAAAGAGATCTGATAGGGACAATTTGGTTAAAAAACAACCTGACAGGGGAAGTTTATCTGTGAAACAGAGTTCCAGGATCCGGGATAATTCTCCTGTGAAACAGAAAGCTAAGAGGGTCACCTCCCTAGTGAAGCAAGAAGCGGAGAAGGTCACCTTCTCAGTGAAACAGAGGTCTGTCAGGGGCAGGCCGGCAGTGAAACGACCGTCTAGCAGCGGCGAAACTTCGACGCCGAGGAGCACCGACGGGGGCAATCCGGCCGCGGACGATCGCTCGACTCGCGGCCGCCGTAGCGACTCGCAGAAACCCGTGCGGACGACGGCGACAGACGCGGTTGCCGCGGCGACGACCAACGGCGAACGTCCGATCGCAGTCGACGTCGGTTCGCGATCGACGCAGCGGACGGCGGCGCCACCTGCAGCGGAGAACTCGCGGCGGGGAACGTGCCGCAGCGGCGACGGGGAGCTCGCCGAGAACAACCTTGAGTACTTCGCCTCTCTGTGCGCGTCGCTCGACAGGGACGCCGCGACGACGACAGATCTCCGCGGCGACGCAGCAGCATCTCGCCTCGCCGGTGGAGGAGGAGGAGGAGGCGGAACGACGTCGGTTACGATGAGCGAGCGCGTGACGCCTAGCGAGCGCGTGAGCAGCGTGGATGCTGAGCGCAGCATCCCGGTCAAGAAGCGCAGGAGCCGACAGGGCGCGCCGCTGGTGCAGAGAGATGCTCAGCCCGCGGTGGCACAGCCCGCGCCTGCAAGCGTCTACGGCGGCGGTGGTAGTCTGTACGGTGCGAACACGGCGACAGCAACAGACGAACCGACGATGCATCATCAGGTGGAGCTGCAGCAGCAGACGTACAGCTCTGCTATGGTGCAGGAGCAGAATGCTGCAATGGCGCAACAGCTGCAGCAGAACAGTGCAGTGGCTCAGCAACAGAATGCCGCGATGGTACAGCAGCAGCAGAACAATGTGATGGTGCAGCAGCAACAGCAGCAGCAGAACAATGCGATAGTGCAGCAGCTGAATGCAGCCATTGTGCAACAGCAGCAAAACAATGCAGTGCCACAGCAAAACAATCCGATGCAGCAGCAGAACACTGCGAGAGTACATCAGCAGCAGAACACTCCATTGGTGCAACAGCAACAGAATACTGCGATGGTGCAACAGAACGCCGCAATGCACTATCGGAGTTCCGTGAGCGCCGGTCAGCCGTCGGCTATCGTACAGTTGCTCGTGCAATCGCAGAAGCATCAGCAGCACAGCCCGCCGCTGCACGTGCAGCAAGTGATTCAGAGCTGGCAGCATCATCAGCAACCACAATCACCACAACAACAACAACAACAGCAACCTCAACCTCAGCAACAACAACAACAACAACAGCAACAGCAACCTCAACCTCAGCAACAACAACAGCAACAGCAGCAGCAACAGCAGCTATTACTGCAGCAGCAACAACAACTACATCACCAGCAACAACAACACCACCAACAACAGCTACAACAACAACAGCTACAACAACAACAACAACAACAGCAACAACAGCAGCAACAACAGCTACAACAACAACAACAACAACAACAACAACAGCAGCAGCAGCAGCAGCAGCAGCAGCACAGCCCAGTTGTATCTATGCAGCAGTCGCATCCAGTTCTCAGCTGGCAACAGCAGCAACAACAGCAGCAACAACAGCAGCAGTGGCAGCAGCAGCAGCAGCAGCAACAGCAGCAGCAGAAACTATGGGAGTTGCATCAGCAGCAGCAGCAGCAGCAGCGACAGCAGGCCAACGCCGGCCACCTAGATGCGCTGCACTCCCCCGGAGCAGCAACACAGCTGCAGCACCGCTCGCTGTGGGAGAGCGTGGGAGCGTCGCAGCCCCCCGCCACCACGCAGCAGGTCTCGCCGATGCAGGCTATGAAGTCGGCCTACCAGGAGCCCTACCAGCAGCTCATTCCGGCGTCGACCCAACTGGCAAGTTATCGTTGGTTCTCTTGCCGTTCTCGCCATCTCGGGGTTTCGATTTTTTCACCTTGCTAGCTCCTGTAAGCACCATTCAAGGTGACCGACACAATAAGTATAAATATAGATATAAATATATATCACTATACATTAGGGCTGTAACGATACACTCGCGTATTCGGTGCAGGGTTCTCCCTACGTTGCGCAAACGGGGCGCGCGCGCCCCGTTTG